CAAGTACGTCCACTCACCAATTTCGATAAACATCGAACTTTTATTGCGTTTCAAATATTGACATGACAAATTTGAGCAGACATCATGACCATGGAAATGATGAAAATTGATTTATCCCTCTGCGAAGCAAATTCCAATTACGGAGGTTGCATTCCATACTCTTACTCCCAATTTTGATTAACCTATTGAAACGTTTGCAATCTCCCTTATACGGTTGAGTTCCAACACAAATTCAATTAAGACCCTCACGGATATTGTATCTAAATTTACATTAAATCAAAAATCTCATTTTATAGAATAACTCAGGTTACCTTATAGAGTGACAGCCAGCGACTGCCAGACATACATTATAGTACGAAGCTAAAGCCTTTTCATATATGTGTGTGTGCACACTATGGTAGATAAGAACGTTTATATGTCATGAACTTTTTCTATGGAGGGTCCCGGCAGATAACAGGTACTCAAAGTACATAAAAATGTCAGAGAAAAACGATGTACTATGCGAGAGCTGATTTTTCAATATGTTCAACTGAATAACATTATAAATACACAAATCAACAATTGTCTGACACTTTTCGCGAGGCTTAACGTTTGCCAGACACTTTTAAGGTAAACAAATATTAAAGTTGAATAAAGATGCAAGTCTGATGTTACTATTTTTTTATTAAATTTAGTCGCATCCACCAAAAGGTTATTAGCGACAGAACAATACATTAATTATAAATCTAAATTTCATATAACATTTCGATGAATTTTAGATAGTCAATAATGTTTTTAAGAGGAATATCAAATAGCTTATGTTTATATAGTTTGGGATTTTGTGAGCAATTCGACTGATTTGATATTTTGGACATACAATTAAAAAATGATTTACGCTGTTGACGACACTGCACTCTTCAAATATTGGTGGGTCACTATTAGAAAATAGATAGGAGTGCGTAAATCTTGTATGACCTAGCAGTAAACGGGTGATAATTATTTGTACTCGTCTGTTTAATGTCGAATATTGCCAAGGTGTAATATCATTTTTTTAATTTGTTTAAATTTAGACCGACTATGTTGCCATTCACGAGACCAGATACACAATATTTTATTTTTGAAGAACGATTTAAGATCATTCGCGACACTGTGAGACTATTTCCGACACTTCACTCGTTATTGCAATACGCGCACACTGATCTGGTGTCTCGTTGCCTTCAATTCCGATGTGGGAGGGTATCCATATGATGTGTATGCATCTTTAGTGTTCTTGAGACTGCAGTAGTTCAGACTTTATCATTTGTTCAATGGGGATTTTCGGGTATATATGTTGCAATGCTAGTATTGCACTAAGAGAGTCTGAGAGTATTATGCTTTTGGAAATATTTGATGTTTAAACGCTGAAAAGATTTGTAGATAGCGAAGATATCAGCGGTGAAAATGCTAGAGGTTGACGGAAGTTTGAAAAATAATTTGTCCTGAGGTGTTACAAATGCTGCCCAACACCAGTGTCATCTTTAGAAGCATCAGTAAAAAACTTTTGATAGTCCTGATATTTGTCTAAAATATTATTAAGGTTGCCTTTTATAATACTTGAGGGAATTTCATGTTTATTATATTGGCAGAGGTCCGTGTTGGTTTGAGTAATTTTAATGATCCAGGGAGGAGGATGGTCAAGATCGAATGGAAAGACTTCTGGAAACTCAATCTCTAGGTGAAACTTCGAATTCGCTCATAATAAGGTTTTGATGTGTGTGGCTTATTGCTAAAGTAATTGATATATTTTTTAGTGAAGGTATTATTGAAAAGTGACTTATTTCTATTAGAGGCTATCGAAGTAGCATGTGATAATGATAGATACATTCTCCGGTAGTGTTTTTCCAGTTTCACAGTAGATACTTTCAATAGGGGAAGTGCGAAAGGCTCCCAGAACAATACGAAGAGCAGCATTGTGTACAGTGTCTAACAGTTTCAAAGTGATTTTGTTGGCGGATCCATATGCTGCAATAGACCTGTAGTTAATCTTTGATCTCATTAAAGTTTTATAAATGGTTAGTAAGGTATGATAGTCTGAGCCCTAGTTTCTGTTTGCCAGAGTCTTCATTATGTTTAGTCTCTTATAACAGCAAACGGTTAAATGTTTTATGTGTTCTTTCCAGGATAGCTTTTGGTCGAACCACATTCCCAAGAACTTTACTGATGGTTTGAAAGACATATTTTGGTTAAATAACTGTAAAACTGGAAAGATAACAGAAGTTTTCTTGGATAATACAATTCCAACAATTTTTGTCACGGAAAAAATAAATCCTGTATCAAGAGACCATCGTTCCAATTTCATCAAAAAGTTTTGCAGAAAAGTTGACATGATATCCACATTTTTTCCTTTAATATAGATTACCAGGTCATCAGCATATAAGCGTGCTTTTAAAGATGTTAATATTTTTATTATGTCATTTATAGCGACCAGAAACAGTGTAGGACTAATTATTGACCCTTGTGGAGTTCCATTGTCTTCGTTTTGATTTTCCTAAAAGGAATTATTTACTCTTACACGAAATAATCTATCCTTCAGAAAATTTTTGATAAAAGCAAAACAGTTGCCACGAATATTCCACGAGTGAAGTTTTTTTAGAATGTTAAATCTCCAGCAGGTTTTTTTTTAAGTCGAAAAATATTGCTATACAAGTTTGTTTTGTTGCTTTCTAGATCCAAAATATTATCGATCCCAGATCGGTTAGTCTAAAACCGTTTTGCTCGGAGATAAAGTGGCTAGAATTTTCCACACTATTTTTTCTAGTAGCTTACTCATGGAGCACGTTAAACTTGTGGGTCTGTAAGATTCAGGTTCTAAACGAGGTTTTTGATTTTTTAGAAGAGGAAGGACAATAGCTTTAGACCATAGATATGGAAAGAGGTGTTGGTACCATATTAAATTAAATAGTTGGAGAAGATATGTTTTTGTAGAATGGGGAAGATGTTTTAAAAATATTACTGGAATATCGTCTGGTCCGAGGCTGGTATTTTTAAGATCTAGGAGAGAATTAATTAATTCAGATATAGTGAGAGGAAGGTTTAAAGGAACATCATCATCATTATTATTCTGGTCTAAAAAGAGGGTGTATGTTTTCGGTGACTAATTTTTTATTGAGAAATTTTAAATTGTAGTTATCATTCGATGACATTTTTTATAATTTGTGGCTAAGACGTTTGCTATCTCTGGCGGATAAGTTATTACCCTATCATTGACTTTCAAACTAGAAATTTTTGGAGTGTATTTTAGGCCTGATATTTTTCTGATTCTGTTGATAGGAGTTGAGCTGTTTATTTCTGAGACGTATTGAGTCCAGGATGTCCTTTTTGCTTTCTTGATCGTAAGGTGTGCTGTTGATTTAAGTCTTTTGAATTCTGCCTTATTTTCCAGTGTTTTATGTCTTTTATACTTATTTAAGGCGGTTTTGCTACCATAAGTATATTGAAGAATTTCCCAGGATCACAAAAACTTATGTCAATTACTGATGATTCTCCAGTGTTAATGTTAAACCTAGTTGGTGATCCATCATTAAGAAAATTCAATTGACAATTTGAGATGAGTTTTTCTATTGTTTTGCCTCTGGCATCAGTAGACGATGAGCCCAGACTATATTGTGCGCGTTGAAATATCCTATAATTACATGGGGAGATGGTATTTGGTCCGTAATGCCTATCAAGTCATTAAATGTTGCTAAAGAACTTGAGGGAACGTAAATATTACAGATATAGTATGCAGTAGATGCAGAGATTTCGACAACAATGGCTTCAAGATTGCTGGTAACAGGAAATATCTTTGCTTCAAGCGAATTTTTGATCAATGTAGCTACGCCTCCGGAAGAAAAATTTGCATTGGTTGTTCTGTCTTTTCGAAAACAATGATAGCGCTTTGAATACTTTTTCTGTGGATTTAGATTGGTTTCTTAGATACAGATTATGTCAGGGGAATGTTCGCCTATGAGAATTTGTAACATTGCAAGTCGATGAAACAATCCATCGATATTCCACTGAAGTAATGTTTTGAATTCTGTTAAATATTAAATAATTAGATATTAGTATCTTTGCTGACTTAGATGTGATGTGTCACTATCTGATTCCGAGACGTGATTGCAAAGATTTTTCGTTTCAAAGTTGTGAATTTTCTCTTTAGGGATGGATCTTTTATATGGGTAGATTTTTGATAACGTGTGTCACGGCTATCATATCTGAAGTATATTCTTGGACAACGTTGATAGGATCTGAAGAACCAGTTACATTAGTTAAAAGTAAAGTTATAAAGTCATAATTAAGTATAAAAGGAGGAGAGTGGTTAATGATAAAGTCTTTGGCTGGCTCCAGTCGATGTAGATTGGTATTACTCGAGACAACTGTTGGAGGTGAAGAGTTGTTTCATTTTTTTAGATTTGGGTTTTGTCTTAGGGAGATTGAAGATGCTGTTTTCCTTGTCAATTACATCCGTGTCTGGTGAAATAATATCGTTGATGCAGCGCTTTGAGTGAACCGAGTCTTTTAATGGTGGACTTTGCTCCATAGATAAGGGTTGAGTGATGGCTTCTTGTGTTGAGTTTTCTGCGGTTGCTGATTTCTGTATATTCGCTGAAATGGTCGTTGATTGAATAGATAAGGGTAGTATATTAGTTTGCGGTGTTGTAGTGTGAGAAGGTATCTTCATATTAGCCAATCGGCATACTGGATACAGACGGTACAGTTGGAGTAGTAGTTTGTGGTATTGTGTTTGAGTGGATGGTGATGCATTTGTGGATTCGGGACATTGGGATACGATATGTCCAGGTTTATACAAATTGTATGGATAGAACGATATTTTCAGAAGTGGCGTAGCTCAGTGCTACACTTTCGATGCAAAGGAAAATACCTAATATTAGAAATAAAAGGTGCGTGGTAAAAAGAACATACATTGCAATCAAGCACGTATCAACTTCATCACAGAACACTGAACTTTTTGTGTGTCATCTTCATCATTTATAAATATGTTCTAAGTCACGCAATCATTTTGTTTGGAATGTCTAATGATGAATTATGTCACTTTTTCGGCGACATTATTGAAATTTAAAATGCTTAAGTAATTAGTTTCCTATTAAAAATAGGTTTTCAAAATTTTTAGTAATTTGTAATGAATCAAATTTAAAAATGTTGGAACCGAATAATTCTGAAAATCAACTTCACCAAATAAAACCAAATACAACCGAAGAAAAACAAGATTCATCTACATTAATAGTAAAAGAAAGGTATGTTGAATTACTCGATTTAAGAAATATCACTAGCCAGAGTTTGGAATGTATTAAGCAAAATTCAAATAAAGAGTCTACTCGCGAATACAGCAGGACAACAGGTCGGTATTTATCGAATTACCAAGAATTCAATCGAATAACTGGCCAAAGCTTATCGAGATCCAAAAAAGTTAAAAAAAGCATTACGACTGCCATTATAGCAGAAAGAATAGTGAATAAAAATTTAGAAATACAGCGGGACAGAAAATATGGTGAATCGAAATTATATAATTTTCCAATGGACAAAATAAATCAAATGATAGCGAAACGAATTTTAGAAACAGAAGATCGAATATCAAGAGAAAATAGAATATTAAATCAGAAATCGATTAGAGAAAATCAAGATGTTATTAAAAAACTGATCAAATACCTTACCAAAGTTACTTCGTCTAAAAGTTTGCAAAAATTAAAAGTTTGCAAATCAACTTGTATCCCAGATTCGTTCTTCACCGCCCAAAATACTTCTATGATACAAAAACAACAAGAAAACTTAATAGTAGTCAATAATTTAAAAGGTAATAATGATACCAATGAAGAAATTGCAAATATAACTGATAGTAAGAGTTCCGTTGAAGAGTTTAAAACTATTATTAATGTCACTCCAATATCTTTAATTCAACCTGAAGATTCTGGTGATAAATGCTTACAAACAGATGCACCAATACTTATCAATAAACAAATTGGTGCAGTAGTTTTAAATTCCAATAATCCAACCAAATTTACAAATACTGAAGAATTGTATTATCCTTCTCAAGATAGAGCAACTCAATTTTATGAGTATTTAACTTGTAGTGACTTATTTTGTCTGGAATGGGTCAATAAGCATTTATTTGAGATTCATTTAAACCCACATGGTATTATTATTGATGAAAAAATTAGAGCTGTAAGTGAAATTGTTAATCATTCGAGTTTTTTAAGTAATATTAGTGTGGATTGTGAGTTGTAATATTAGTGGGGATTGTGAATTGTAATATTTTGTGTGTTTCTGTAAACAATAGATAAAACCTAATAAAATGTTTTGATCCCAAAAATTACAAATACATTATTTTCGGTTTTCACAAAAAATTTTCAGAAGTATTTGATTTTTCTTTACTCTATACCAAGTTATTTATAGTTATTTATAGTTATTTTACTTGAACTCTCTATGAATGAATAAATATTATAAGACATAAACCATTCATGCATGTTATACGATAGCCAAGCATCCATCAAAGCGCTGAGCTCTTACGTAATCAGCTCAAAAATGGCCTGGAGATGCCTAAAAAAACTAAATGAGCTAGACGAGGAAAATACAGTTACTCTCATTTGGGTCCCTGGACATAACTGGGTAAAGGGTAACGAGATTGCAGGTAGTCTTACAAGGAAGTGGGCTTAAACACCCTTTGTGGGACCTGAACTGTTCTGCGGTATCAGCAGTAACATAATATTAGTAGGAATTAAAAAAGAATTGGGCAGTAGAAGAACCGATTCGAATAATCTTTAGGGGCTAAGAGATGCTAACCAAAAAAGAACAGGCTACGCAGTAACAGGGTTCCTTATGGACTTTTAGTTATAATGTATATTTAGGGTTTAGTCTTTGTATGTGGTGACTATAGATTTATAAAGAATTTTGAAAGATTAGAATATTGTCAAATAAAAAGAAAAATATTAATTTGTACGTCTATCAATTAATAATATTAATATTCCAACGAAGACATTTGTGGGACAAGGAACATCATACCCACACAAATATATTGGTGACCCGATTTCGTTTATGGTCCAAAAATTTTGAAAAATATTTTACCTTCTGAAGATAGAGTTAAGGTGATAAAAGAAAATGTATTGCACCAAGTTCTAAATTTGAGCATATCCATATGGAGTTGGTTACTCCCTTTCCTTATTCAAATGGATATACTAACATCCTAATAATAGTTGACAGATTTTCTAGATGGCCAGAAGCATATCTATTAAAAAATATATTTGCAACTACGGTAGCTGAAACCTTCTTAATGAATACATACATCGTTTCGGCATTCCTTTAAAAGTCACCACAGATCAAGGAACATAATTTGAATCAAAATTATTTAAAGAACTAACCAAATTATTAGGCAGTCATAAAATTCATACAAATACTAACCATCCACAAAGCAACGGGTTAGTTGAAAGATTTCACCGTCAGTTAAAAGTATCTTTAATGGCCCGACAAAACAGTAAACATTGGAGCAATGAACTCCCAATAATTGTATTAGGTTTAAGAACTTCTCTCAAAGAAGATCTGAAATGTTCTTCTGCAGAACTTGTCCGTAGAACTTGTCTACGGACAAGCTCTACATATTCCAGGAGAATGTTTTACCTAGTAAAAATATATCTGAACCTCAAGAATTACTTTTACAAATTAAAAATAATTTTCAACTCATACAGCCAGCACCTGAACGCATTTCAAAAAACAACAAAACTTTCGTGCATGATGATTTAAAAAGTTGCGAATACGTATTCATGGAAGTTCCAAGAAAAACCTTTTTTATTGAAAAATGTGGAAAAGAATAGGCCATCTCTATAGACAGAGTTAAACCTGCTTACTTAGACTCATCTAACAGAGAAACTAAGAAACAGAACTTAATTCCGTAACCTTTGCCATTAACTAAGTTTTTTGTCGTTGTCACTGAAGAGGGGGTTAATATGTAGCAATACAGACTTATAAGACTTTTAGTTATAATATATAGTTAGAGTTTAGTCATTGTATGTGGTAACTATAGATTTATAAAGAATTTAAAAGATTAGAATATTGGGGGACAAGAAACATCATACCCCCACAGACACTTTAGTAAACTGAGAATAATGGCAGATTCTGTGAGAAGAAGGACGAAACCTCCATTTACAATTTAGATAAATCTGTAGCACTACAGAATCCAAGAGCACTATACCTATAGAAGCATAGCAAATAAAAGAGGGATATTTACCTAACTTGAAGCCCCTCCAAATCCTATAATTCCTTGAAAAGATAGAATTAGAAAAGTTGTTGTAGGCAACGAGACATGTCCTTGCTACATTAGCGACAAAAGGAGGCACAATAGATCTTTTAGGTCGCAGTGTATTAACACCCCATTCCTAACAAAATATACTCTTCTGTCACATATACAGTTCAGTGTGTGAGAAAAAAAGAACTAATCCCTACAAGTAATCGCTTCAATTTTACATATGGCACCTTTAATTTAACTTGTTTATACTTGAAAATCACAGAAACATTTTTGTGCTTTGGAACGTGATGCATTATTGCTGTTAGGATGTAATGGAGTAGTATAACCACTATTTTTGGTGTATAATCTTTAGTTTTATTTACTTGTAAATTTGTTGTGAAGTTTTAAATAACGTTTTTAAATTTAAGTTGGCAGACGCCTAACAGCGCTTTTATGCATTGGCAGCATCGTTCTCCGCACGACCTTGCCCATGGATGCCAGGATAGCTATTCACTAAGTCATGGGAGCGCTCCCATGGGAGTGCTCCCATATATTTTGCTCTCTTACTCTTAGGTGGGTATATCGTGCTTACTCACTTTTAGCCCAGGTACATGCGTAGTAAGGTCAGATTTTATACTATGGGAGGGAGAATTGCGGGCTTGCCAGATTAGGTCCGTATTTATCACAAAGCAAATTTGAATTACTAAGGGCTGATTCCACCGTGGAGTTAAACGGAGATTAAAATGACATTGTTAATGTAAAAAGGTCATTTTAAACTTCGTTTAACACAACGGTGGATCGGTCCTTAAATAGTAGATCAAAGTTATTCTGTCGACTTGGCAACGTTGGCATGGGAGTATGGGAGCATGGGAGTGTGGGAGTGCTCCCATGAGTTAGAGAATAGGTATCCTGGTCGTACAATTTAAAGGAGGTGAAAGTATTACTTATCTAACTGATTGTTTTATTGAACAAGAACACGTGCCTCAAGCCGATTGAAGTTTATTTTTTCATAAAATCGTAGTTTTTTCAAAATATCTCTTACAGTAGACGGATTTGAGAAAAAATCTGAAAATTTTGATTTTATTGGAGTTAATGAGTTTATTCTTGAGAATATCTCCATAAATATAAACTTAATGAAAAAAATCAAACGAGAGCAATTTTGTAGGAAATGATTTTTTTAAAGTTCATATTTATGGAGATATTCTCAATAATAAACTCATTGACTCCATTAAATCAAAATTTTCATATTTTTCTTAGCTCTGTCTACTTTATGAGATATTAAAAAAAACTACGATTTTATAAAAAAAAATGCTATCGTATTTTTTCATCAAAAGGAAGGTTTTTAAGGTGTCGGAAAAAATTTCATTTTTAACGACCATTCTAATAATAGAAAAATCTGCGACAAATAATGTCTTAATCCTGATATAGAAAATAATGATTCTTCTGAATAACTTTGAATAATTTTGAATAAAAAACTATAAATAAATACTTTTATAATTAGCTTGATTGTCTATTTTTAAAAAGCCCTTTTGAATGTGAGAACCACGCGACCAACCATGCTATTATTGTATTTACTGTTGAATTTTAGGTCGTACAAAAAATAGTAGTGCAGGTCATAGAATAATAAACTGTAATTTAATAAAATATACTAATTTTCTAGCATCAACAGGTAATCTGAAAAAAACTTTGTCGGGAGAGTAACTTTTATTTGAACAATTACTTGCCCCATATTGTAATATTTTTCACTAATTTCTATAACCTAAGAATATTAATACTAAATGAAAGTTAATACTAAAGGTTTAAAACTTAAAACTATAAAAATAACTCCGTCACTGGCAACTGAACGCCTATGCAATAACTTCCGCTACTGACTGGTTTAGAAAGGTTCTAAATCAAGCAACATCTTGCGCAGCGAACTGTTGAGAAGCGAAAAAATGGGGGAGAAATACCGTGTTGTTTTGAATGCTGTGCTAAGGCATCTTAAAACATGGCTGCGGTCTATAATAAATGAAAATTGATAGATCAAACGAACTTACCTGAAGTGAAGTTCGATCTTAATTATATGAAACGCCTTGTTCGAGATGATCATAGGTAGCACTCCCTTTTTCCCGCTCTGTGGCCACGTATTTTAAAGTCTAAATACCATCAAAAGTATTTAGAAAGCTCCAAAATAACTGGTATCCCAGTCCTTCCCACCTCTACTCCCGTCTCGTGAGAGTCAATCACACTCTTGCGTCATTCTTTTAAAGCGGAAATTGTGTTTGAATCTTGTAGAGATGATCTTGGGTATAGGTGTGTGGGTGGGTTCGATCATCTCGAACAAGGCGTTTCATATAATTGAGATCGAACTTCACTTCAGGTAAGTTCGTTTGATCTATCAATTATATTCCACGCCTTGTTCTCAATGATCATAGGTAGATGTTTAAAGAAAAGTTTAAACACAATTACCGAGAACATTTTTATTCTAAACCCTACGATTGAATCATTATTCGAACTGTTTGGGTATATGCTATAAGTAGTATAAGTAGTATAAGTAGTTACTCTACTAGCAATATTTTATTGAAATAACCGACTTAATTCTCACGAATTTAAGTACGATGCAACATAACAAAATACATACATACATACATACATACATACACGAACATTACGAAACGGAAATTGCAAAGGCAAAATTATGTTGAACGTGATTTATAACATTTATAAAAAGTCTTTTATAGAAATTCTTAACTAAATGTCACCTACTGTTTTTTTTTTCTTTTTTTTTTGGTGTATGTTGAAATGTGTCAATACTAATTACCAATTTATTGGCTGCATATGTAATGTCATGTTGTTGTGTAAAATGCGACTTAAATACTGCGGTATCAACTCAATTATGTAGGCTTAATTTCAACCAACGGCTAATATATTGCAGGACGTGGTGACTTTTTATGCTTAGAAAATAGCCATTCATTACCCTCCTACGTCCTTTCTAATTAGAACTCCAAAACTTTAGATACATATAAACGGTTATTTTTGAATCCATTGATTTAGAGTTAAGCCATTCAACTAAAGTCCTCATACATTTTAAAACTCTTTGAAATAAGTTATATTCCACCGTTCGTAATTTAACGA